GGCCCGGCTCCCCGGAGCGGTGGCTAGAAACCACGGTCCCCGAGAGTCAGCCGGAAGCGGGGCGAAGAGACGGTGCGTGAGGCTGGCGGCTCTGGACGGGATAATTCCAGCCGTGAGGACCGGCGGCGGAACGAGGGCGGGGTGCGGGCGACCGCTGTCCCCCAGTAAATTCAGCGCTCCGACCTCCCATCCCACAGGTCTGAGCGAGGGGACGGCGGCGCGGGCTGGCCATGCTCCAGGACTCCCCATCGCTGTGGGAGCTGGTGGAGGAGCATGTCCCGCTCCCGGAGCGGCCCGAAGTGAAGAGGATACTGGGGGAGGCGGCGGTGGATCTGAGCCTGGAGCTGCGGGCGGAGGTGGGGGGTGGGAAGGTGGGCCACGCCCCAGGCCTGCCCCCAAACTCGGATGATTTCCCACCTCTTCCGGGTCTCTGGCCCTGCCGGGTAACTCCCGAGATCTTGTCGGGTCTCACTGCCCTTGCCCTCTCCCGGTTGACTCCGCCTAACCCTCGCCCCCCCAGCACCCCTTCACTCCTGTCACCTTCCTCCTCAGTTACAAGGTGTCCCAGCTCTCCTTGCAGGTGGTGATGCTACGGGCGCTGCTCCAAGAGGCTCGATCCTCCCAAGCCCCGGGCTCCCGCCCTATCTCTGACCCTTCCTCCCTTCTGGCACCACCGCCCGTCCTAAGGAACCTCGTCCGCCAGGAACTCCGGCAGCTGCTCCAAGGTCTCCGCCACAAGGCTATCTTCGAGGGCAGGTGAGACCCTTAGGCTTGAGTCTCTTCCCAGACATCAGATGGGCTAAGCCCCTGACAAGGAGTTAGGGTGGCGTTTCCTGTGGTTTTCTGAAAACTTCCTTCATGTGCACCTTCTACAGGGACCAGACCCAGGCTTGGGCCCGGTATAGCCCTAGGGTCCTGCGCTTTGCCTTGGAGGAGCCCAGTTGTGATTTACCAGAACAGGAAATATTCCAGAGGAGAGCTGACCCCAGGTGAAGTGGTGGTAGGAGAGGATGGATCTGTCCCAGCTTGGCAGAGGGCCCCAGCCAACCAGTAGGTCACACCTGGCCCAGTGGAGGAGCTCCCGGTCTGGGGCCGGATGCTTTTACAGCCACTTATGGTAGGGACCTGTACATGAGGTCTACAGAAACTCAGAGACACCAGCCCCACCTGGGGCAGGCAAGGGTTCCTGGAGAAAGTGACTGATATGATTTGGGTCTTGGAGTATGAGGAGTTTTTCAGGTGGCTGAAAGAGAGAGGAGCTTTTCGGGAAGTGGGAGGAAAGGAGGTCATGTCCAGTGGGCAGTTTTTCCTCAGGCCTAGAGAACAGAGCAAGGGCTGGGGAAAGCTGAGCAGGAGGGCGCAAGTGGTATTTACAGCTGGGACTGAATGAGATAGGTAAAGGGGAGCTTGTTCATGAGAAGTGGGTGGCAGCAGTTTCTTACTGTAGTCCTCACACAGCTCTATGAGGTGGGCGACGTCTCCATTTTGCAGATGAGGAAACTAAAGTTCAGAAAAGATAAGCGATGTGCCCGAGGTCACATACGGTGAAGGTGTGGCAGAGCCTAATTGCAAACCCAGGCTCCAGAACTCCTACTCTTTGTACTATATTATGTTGCCTTTGTGAGAAAAGACACAATCTTGTCTAGAAGTGGTATTTGTGTCCTGAAGGCCTGGGGTAAGCAACACGGGGAGAGTGATAATGACTTCATCTGCCAGCAGCAGTCACAGGGACCTCAGTGTCATCAAGGACCAACTGAACATGTCCAACATTGATCAGGTTGCCAGACACCTGAGGTGAGGCCCAAGGGCACCTTAATGTGTGCAGGTGTCATGGATGCAGGACAGGAGACAGGCATGGAGCTTGAGGTGCTGGGACTGGGACAGAAGAGAAGGGAGGCAGCATGCCAGGTGGGGAGACCCACATGCGTCAGGCTGAGGGGCGGGAAGAGCCCATTGCTGCGTAGTTAGTGAGGTTGTTACCTGGAAGTAGCCAGTACACATGCCAGTAGGGCCATGGCCCTAGGATTTTTATCTTGACACAGGGGAGCCACCAAAGGGTTTTAAGCAGGGAGGGGCTGTGATGTCGGGGGAGGATGGAGGCAGGAAGAGTCCAGGCCCAGTGCAGTAGTGCAGAAGAGAGGGTGGTGCCTGCCGGTGGGAGCTGTGAGGAGGGCAAGAAGACACATCCGGAGGGGCTGGAAGTCTGTGTTGGGACCAGGCAGCAGAGAAAAGCGTGGGCTGAGAACAGAGGGGCTGGAGGGGCTCCTGGTGAGGCCAGAGGTCAGTGCATGCAGTGGGTTCAGCTGAGACTTGGTCCTCTGGCACCGGTCTGGCTGCCATGCTCCCCCATGTCCCAGGGACCTCCTGGAGGAGGAGTGTCGCACCTTGGAGAGGGAGATCCCCACCTTGCAGGTGAGCTGCAGCCCTGGGCCTTCCCCTGAGCCTCTCTGCTGAGTGCAGACATACGCACTTCTCACCTGGGTGTTTGGGACCCATGTTCATGTGTGTCTGCGTACATATGTGTATGTAAAGGTGTGAATCCTGTGTCCATTTGTCATGTGTGCACACTTGTGTGTACGTTAAATCCTAGAAGCTCACAGTGCTGCTTGAGCCCTTATGTCCAGCGGTAGCAGTTTTAGGTTAAACTGCTGCATTTGCCCCAGGTCTTTTGCCTTTGTCCTTTACCTAAGTCTAGGTACAGGCCCAACCAGCATCTCGCCAAACCTGGAAGGGCTGATGTTCCCTCTTGGGGCTGCCCTCTTGGTGGCTGGGCTGAGGAGGCTTCCTGGGCCTTGCCCTAGGGATCTTGGCCTCTGTGTCCTGCCCCACCATGCCCCTGCCTTAAGCTGGGGGCACTGACTCAGCTTTCCCTGCAGCACCGCCTAGAAGAGGAGTGTATGCGAGTGCGTCAGCCCTCCCAGGCAGCCCCAGAGCCCACCCTGAGAGGTGAGGACCCTAAGCAGGCCCCAGGGCCCCTAGCCTCCTGCTCCCTGCCTCACTTGTACCCCCCTCCTACAAGAACTGGGCACTGTGTCTCAGTTCTATCTCTCCTTCAGAGCTAAAGGAACAGAAGAAGGCCATGGAACAGGAGCTGCAGGCATCTCTGGGGCCTTCCCATGTCTCTCCCAACCACAGGTAAACCAAAGCAGGTAGACATCTGAGCAGGCTGGGCTGAAGGGTCAAGCTGCTGTTGCCTCACATTTATTCCTTCCTGTCCAGGCAGCGGCCCTTGGGGTCCTCCATTCCGGGCCTCAGACCCTTTTCCTGCCTCCATGGGGCTGCTGGAGTTTGGGCTGAGCCTCTCCAACTCCACCTGCCTGCCCCTCCTTTGGAGCACTGTCCCCAACCTCGAGGCTGGGCTGCCACCTGCCGCTGGGGACGGCAGCTTCAGTGCAGCCCCAGGGAAGAGCCAGCTTCCACACCAATGTCCAGTATGGCACCCCAGTTCCCGACCTGAAGGCAGGTCACAACGCAGGCTCCTGCTTCTGCTGGAACTTGCCCATCTGCTGCTGCTGCTTCTCAGCCAGCTTCAAATCGTCTTAGATGAGCTTTTGCCAGGACCCCAAGGCTGTCTGTCTGGCCCTTGTCTCATCCCCTTGCTGGGTTCTGGGTGTCTGGGGCTGAGAGGCTGGGCATCTGTCCCAATCATCAAAGCCTTTGGCCTTTTTCCTCCCAGGCCTCCACAAAGGCCTGGCAGACAGAGGTCCCATCCCAGCCCTGACTCTTTCCCCCCGGGGGACCCAGACAAAGCACAGCAGCAGCTCAGAGACAGGAATAGAAATTTCATTAAAATCTATGGACTTTAAAATCCTAGTGGTGCACGGATGGGCAGGGGTGGGTGGTGCACCGTTATTGCTACAGAGGATTAGAGGTGGCGTGGCAGGGGCTGTCACTGCACAGAGGGCACAGAGGACGGACAAATGGACACTGCAGGTCTTGGGAGAAGGAGCTCTGGCTCCAGAAAGGGGATGGGGACACATGGGCTGGGGCCATTTGGCACATGAATAAGGGCAGCACGTTTGGGAAGACTGGGCCTTTAGCCTGGTAGAGGAAGGGCCAGGGGTGTCATGCAGGGTCCTTCCCCAGGGTTCTGGGCTCAAACCTCCTCTTGAGTGGCCCCCACCCCTGGCCCCCAGAAACAAGTGCTTTGGGCAGGCTGCTGGGTCCTGGGCCTCTGCTGGCTGGGCCTGACAGCCAGGGCTGGAATGAGAGACAGAGCAGCCGAGTGAGGTGCAAGCAGGCCTGGAAGACAGATTGGACACGAGGCTGGGGACAAGGGGCTGGCAACCACAGGTAATACAATTTTTACAAAAATAATTACACAGATAAACAGGGCTGGGTGCTATAGCCTGACAAGTAACACTGCACAGCCCCCGAGCCCCTCACCCTGCCCCATGATAGGAAGATCCAGATTTGCCTGGGCAGAGACTGGGGTCTACTCTGAGGGCAGGAACACTGGTCACAAAGGTGGGAGGCCCAAGGAGAGGGACAAGTGGGGGGCCCACCCAGAACCTCAGCTCAGGGTAAAGTGTGAGGGAATCAGGCCATGTAAAGGCTGTCAGGCCCCTGGGGACCTGACCTGAGACCCTCCAAAGTGCTTCAGGCCCCCCAGCAACCCTCCCATCACAGCCCCCACCCCCAGCTGCCATCTTGGCATCCAAAGGATGTGTAAACACTGGGGACAAGAGCACGAATGACCACACTAGCAGTGGTGGCCGAGGTGACAGCAGCCATCCTGGCCAGGGTGCAGCAGGAGGCAGGCAGTGAAACCTGTCCACTGCCTCCCCAGTCTCTGTGGTGGGAGCACGGGGTGGGGTGGGGCCACTCCCTGGGCAGCTGTGCTCATATCCGGGAGTCCTGGAGACGGCTGGAGCCATTACTGCCCACGATAGGGATCTGGGCTTTGTCCGGGTGCAGCGGCTGAACCTCGAACCCATCTTCGGGAGAGGGGGCTGTGGTGGGGGCATAGCGCCCAGTCCGGTGCTCCAGGAGGGCAGGGCCCCAGTCTCTGCTTGGCTTTGTGGCATTTTTCAAACGCTGTGTGACAGGTGGGCATGGGGGGCAGAGCAAGTCAGAAGGGCGCCCTTTGGCCCTATCCAGCCACCCCCTCCCATTTCACCTGGCTTCCCAGCCTGCCCCCAGCCCTCACCTGGAGGAGGGTGTCCCCATCTGTGCGGCAGAGCTGGAACAGGGCGTAGAGTGGGATGCAAAGGACAGAGGACAGAGCCATGAGGAAGCCGATGGCCACGGCCCAGCCTGGGTACTGGTAGTGGTTGTAGGTGATTGGCCGGTACTGGATCACCGTGAAGACGAGAATGAACTGCCAAGGGGCAGGGATGGGACCCTGAGTGAGGCCTGCCCAGAGCCTGTCCCAGACCCCAGGCCATCCCTCCTATCAGCACCCCTTCCTCTTCAGGGCAGTGGAAGAAGCAGGCAGAGCCAGGGGTCGAGGCATGGTGGGCAGGTGGGCACCGTGGAAGGGGCGAGGGCGATCTTTGCCGAAGTCCTGAACTGGCCAGAGAATCAAGCTGCTGCTGCTGCTGCTGCCTTTGGATGTCAGTCAGTTCTGCTTAAAGTCTCACAATGGCTCCCTATTGCCTACTGAAGTAAGGCCCAATCCCTGGCCTTTTACCTTGCAACGTGACCTCAGCTCGTCTGGCCGGCCACATTCCCCTGCCTCAGTGTTGCAGTCCACCCAGCGTTTCCCACCCTCTCTGTTTATTCTGGGGAATCACCCTCTGTGTCTTCCTCTGTCAAAACCTGTGCCAGTGCCACTTCCTTCAGGAAGCTGCTCCAGATTTCCCTTGCCTCCTCCTTCTGAAGGGCCTCTTGGTGGCATTTTCCATCTGCTTCCCTTAGAGTGACTTTGTTTACTGTTTCTCATAGACCTGAGAACTCCTGGGATCGCATCAGCTCTGAGTCTCCAGTGCCCAACAAAGTCTGGCAGTCTCATGTGCTGGTTTGAACTGATTTGTGTGGAGAAATGGATGGGGACATGGGAGAGGGGAGGGCAAAGCCCTCTGTGTTGATGGCTGGGGAGACAGTGACATTCAGCCTGGAGAGGCTCCAAAGGCTGGAGATGGTGAGGGTCAGGCTGCAGATGTTCCAGGGAGCCTCTTTGGAAAGAGACAAATGAGATGGGAAATAAAGCTTGTGTCCACAACAAAGGAAGCTGAAGGAAGCAGAGACATGGGCAGGTGGCCTGCGGGTCACAGGAGGGCCTGGGTGTTTGCATGCGGTGGCCGGCCAGGAGGGCTTAGCATCCTCCTTCTCAGTCGTCAGCTGTGTCCTGGAGCTTAGGCTCCTGTGGCCTTCCTTGTGACCAAATTCTAGAAGGCAAGACCCACGTCCAAACTGGGGGACCTCTCTTGGGATAATGTGTAATGGGAGCTTATGACAAGTTTCCTGAATGGAACTAGATCCTGATGTGGGTGTGGACAGCTGCGTGTAATGGGAGCTTATGACAAGTTTCCTGAATGGAACTAGATCCTGATGTGGGTGTGGACATATTCCCTTATTTGAGCTCACAAAAGGATGGAGTTTGTCAAAAGAGCTTTCCAGAACTACAAGTATAAAGAAGTAAAACTCCCAAAGAAAGCATGACTGCCCAGAAACAGATGTGTCCACAGAGCCTGTAGTCCTCACCTTACCATACCCATAGCCAGGCTTACTGGGCACAGAGAGGCCACTGCCCACTCTGACGCCATCTCTTGGAGACATGGGACCCAGAATGGGGCTGCCCCTACACACCCTTCTTGTTCTGGTCTCCTTCCTGCCTCCTGCTCTTGGCAGGTGCTCCCAGGTCTCTCCCCAGGGCACAGCCTGTTGGGAGTGTGGGAGCAGCCTCCCTCCACCCGCAGAAGGCACAGCCTCCCCCCACTGCCGGGAGACTTCCGCTCCTCCTGCTTCACAGCGGGGCCAGTGGCCAGAGCTGGTGCCGGTGCCTGTGCCAGGCTCGGGAGCATCCCACACCCCATGTGGTGGAGGCCTCAGCCCTCCACTGGCCTTTTATTCAGAACTGTGAACCGGCGAGCAAGTCCAGTGCTGGGCTCCCTGTGGCACCGAGGAGTTGAGCATGACAAGAGCATGACTCTAAACACTGCCCGGGTCACTGGGCTGAGCCCTCTGACTTCCACTGGGAGGCAGCCTTTGCTCCTGTCTGTGAACCACATTTCCAGTGCTGTGCTGGCCCAGCAGTCAGGCTCCAAACTGGACTACCTGCTCTGATTTGTGGCTCTGCCTCTTATTAGCTGTGTGATTTTGGACCAATTACTTAACATCCCTGTGCCTGTTCCCTCATCTGTAAAATGGGATAACAGTTATACCTTGGAGAGTTGAATTACAGGGGTTAATACAGGACAGTGTGCGGAGAGTGCCCGGTTCCTTGCCATGATGGGATGCTACCAATTCAGCTCCTTCTTGGGAGTTTTCCTGCTGTTGAATATTCATGGACCAGAACTCCCCCTCCCAAGCCAGCCCACTTCACTGCCTGGAAGGCTTACGAAGTTGCCCCCATGCCAGCTGACATCTGACTCCTATAGCCTGCATCTACAGGTCCTGGGGCTGCTTCTGGAACATCACACATTCACACCACATATCTATAACTCCCCCTCCCAAGCCAGCCCACTTCACTGCCTGGAAGGCTTACGAAGTTGCCCCCATGCCAGCTGACATCTGACTCCTATTGCCTGCATCTACAGGTCCTGGGGCTGCTTCTGGAACATCACACATTCACACCACATATCTATCTGCTCCTCCTCTGTGAGGGACTGGGGAGATGAGATCAACGAGGCAGACAGAGGCTGACAGGATATCAGCAGTGACTGCTGAGGCCCCCTGGGGACCCCAGGCAGGAGCCCAGGGAGGGAGGACTGCCTCACTAGAGCTGCTGCAGCGCTTTCCCTCCGAGCCTGGGTGATGTCTTCCTCAAATGCAGGGCTCAACATTCCCTTCCAACCTAAGGCCAGGCCTGCCTCCCCACCCTCCCTGATTATCCAACCTCTCTGAGATTCTCAAAGGCCGGAGTTGTGGGTGTGGAGCTCCGGCCAGATGGATGGGCTCCTGCTCTCCCTCCACAGCTTCCCAAGAGAAGGACACTTGGCTGAGGGGTGGCAGGGAAGGGAGGGGCCGGCGAGGAACTTACAAAGATGATAGCTGGAGAGACAAAGCGCCAGCAGATCTGGAAGAAGAAGGGTGGAGGGAATCCCAGCATCATCTGGATGTCCTCGAAGTAGTTCCGGTGCCCTGGAGAGCGGGGGAGTCAGAGTGCCCAGCAGGCCAGCATGGGCAGGCCAGGGGCTGGGACGCAGGGCCACGGAAGCTTAGGCACATACCGTAGATGTACATGATGGACACACACATGATGCAGGAGATGACAACCAGGGAGAAGCTGGCTGCGTAGTTGTCCATCAGCAGCAGCCAGTAGATGCCTGCCTGTGGGCCAGCGGGCAGCTGAGCCGGGGGGCTGCAGTGTGGGCTCCCCCACTGTTCCCCACCTACCCTGGCAAATCCAGCCTGGCCTGGCCCTCAGTTCCTACCTGGCTGGTGAGGGGGATGCCCAGCAGGAAACCAGCCACAGCCACAGCCAAGGTCACATAGGTCTTTTTCTGCAGGATCCACTCATTGCCCACCTCATCCACGATGGCTGTGACCAGTGTCTCCAGGAGGCAGAACTGCAGGATACAGGGCCATCAGAGCAGAGGCCTGCCTGCACCCCTGCCTGCTCCCTCCTCAAGCCGCTGGCCACATCCTGCACCTCGTACCTGAGTGCCCAGCCCCAGCAAGATAAGCATGAAGAAGAAGAGCAGG